CAATTGGTTTGTAACGGCAGAGCCGTTCCTGTAAATAATTGTAAATATTGTAAATAAGTTAAATATGTTTCAAATATATATCTATACAACCTCGCATGCCTTACTGTCTCTTCCTGCTATCCTGCTTGCGCATGCGCCACCCGTGCTGTCTCGCTTGCACGCATATATATATATATATATATATATATATATATATATATATATATATATATATATATATATATATATATATATATATATATATATATATATATATATATATATATATATATATATATATATATATATATATATATATATATATATATATATATATATATATATATATATATATATATATATATATATATATATATATATATATATATATATATATATATATATATATATATATATATATATATATATATATATATATATATATATATATATATATATATATATATATATATATATATATATATACCTATATATGTATATGTTTCTAATTATAATAAAATTATAAATATTTTATTACAATTGCAAAATATATTTAAACACTATGTTCCGAACTGTAAATTTTATAACTTTTGCTTCAATAAACAATTAAATGCATTATCAACCAAACCTATTTTCCGCGAATAATACGGCATACGTAATATGATGCTATAATTTACGCCATTTCCGTGCAGGAAAAATCGAGTTCTACAATCGAGGATAATTAAGCTCACACGGTTGTACAGCGTCCTTTGCCCGTATGTGTCATCGGCAGACACGTGCTTCACGAGTTAAAACGTAATCGACACGCCTGGCGTACGATAACGAACGATTACCGCGAGCCGAAGAGAAGTCGTGTCTAAAAGGTGGCTGTTTGTTGACACAGACGCACCCATATCTTAAAAAGGGCGCGTGAGAATATCGGTCGACCTGCTGTTTGAACAGCTCTCCCCGACGGAAAAACGTTAAAATGATTAAGGGTTGTTTTTCAAAGCCACGCCGAATGTTACATAGTATCACAGTTACGAGTGCGTTGTGACTGACAACTTCCCTTCCGGCCGTAAATACACACGACGTGTAATGTCATCACCATCATGGGTGGCAGTGAAAATCACTGTTGCGTAAATTCCTCAGGCGTATCGTGAATTATTTTTTGCTATCAAGAAATATATAATTATACGATTGCTGTGTAATTAAACAAAATTTGCGAATCAGAGAAATTCTATTCTTTTTTTTTAATTACAAAATATGATTTTTCTACATATCTCAAATGTCAATCGACGATGTGCAAGATGGATAATAAAATGATAAGTCGGATTGCTGTGTAATTAAACAAAATTTGCGAATCAAAGAAATTCTATTCTTTTTTTTTTAATTACAAAATATGATTTTTCTACATATCTCGAATGTCAATCGACGATGTGCAAGATGGATAATAAAATGATAAGTCGCATAAAATATTGCGACGATTACACAAAGCAATATTTCTAAAACGTGCCCAGAGGAAAAATGGATCTGTCAGTTGAAGGGCTAGAAACGATTTGCCGATCCGGACGAAACGATCGACTATCTGTTGCGTGACTACGCCCGCTAACAATAGACCGATCGAGTTCGATACGTCGAACACCTCTCGGCTGCTATAACAAGCTCGCCGACAAAGTGCTAGCAAATACCTCGCACAATAAATGCGGGAGAGCAACAAGATCGCAGCAGATGGAAGTATCAGCTGCGTCGCCACAGGGGCGGTTCATAAACTAACACTTCACACTGTAATAAGACATTTCTAGAAATTATATTGTGTCTCCGTAATTTTGATCGCAAATATGCAATTTAAATAAAAAGTTTTTTATGCGCGTAGGCTGTACGTTAGATAGATAATTTATTATTAATAATATTCTTTTCATTTCTACTTAATATTATATGCAGCATAATTTTAAATTGTTAGATCCTGAAATTAAATTGAAAATTTCTAAAGAGATCAAATTCACCTTTTACACCGTGATATATCGGAAATATATCATAATATATGTGTATATATAATATATCGTATTTTAACCTCCGGCTTCGACAAGGAACTGCCATATTTCCCATGGCTTCATGTATTTCCGCACATCGTGTATTTCCATCTCCCGCGAGATAACATATGAGCCAGACGTCCATATCTGAAACGGGCGGGGATCGATATTCTCCCGCGAGCGCGATTTACTCTTTCCGTTTTACAAGTCAATTCAGGATCGTTCGTGGTGCATTAAATCCGCCCCTACGCCGCGTTCTTCCCGGTAGCCATCATTTCACACGGCTCGCTTCGTGAATCCCAACGCGCCGTTACGATCGGGACGCGGTGGCGAGCTCCAAGCTGCACTTAAGCCCGAGATAAGAGATCCGCCTGTCGGATGGTTTTGCCGTTAAATCGGCAGGAAGGGCACGCTGCGAGACACGCTGCAACCGCAACTGACCATCTCGTAACTTGCACCGTCCATTGCAGCCAAGACCTCGAGGCATTTTTCGTAATAACGTGTGTCTAGATCTCGACCAATAAGTACGATGCCGATCGTGGATTTGATCCCAGACAAAAGACAGAAGACGATATTTCTGTTTGTAATATCGGGATTTGCAAAAATAATGTGAAGTCTCAACAGATTTAAATTCTAAAGAATATTTTAAGGATTTAGGATATATTTTAAATTAAAAACAAATAAATTTTAAAATATATAAATTTTCTCTTTTTATGTAAAGGATGAGCTGCTGTTTAAGAATTCTGGGTCTTGTTAAATAAGGGTTTTTAAATAGCATGCATGTTATGTGCGATTCTAAGTTCTCACAAGCTGTTGTTTTTTTATCGTTTTACGGCAATCAGGTACCGCAGCAACCGTAAAATCCGCGGATCTTGACAGGAGATGGATATCGTATTTTCTATAATACATGGGTCGGCTACACCGCTGAAAATTCCGCATCGTATGCACGAACTGTCTTTTGCATAGGTTATCGCGAAAGACCCAAGATCCGGCACGAGATGTAAACTTTTCGACGTGGCGAATATTTCCAAATCGTGATTGCTCTCCCGAAATTGGAACACACAACGATATCGATAATAATAACTTCTTATCTTATATTTATACATATATTCTCCCTCTTCCTCTCTTATCTAAAACTATCGTACTAAATATGGCTGGAATAATTTTATTGATTTTAGCAATTGCAATTTATATCACATTTTTCATATTCATAAGCACATCGCACATCAACAGCACATATAGAGAGTCTGAATGAGATATTACTAGCTACGTCATGGAGATAACACTTTATCGTTCTATTGTCCAATCTTAAAGCCCTGAATAAATTTAACCGCGAAATCCTCGAAGGCTTCAGAGAGTTTCCCTCCCATCCCTTCCGAATAAACAATTCGTCGCAACGTAAACACGTCGGCTGCGCCGATGAGTGAACCGGTCGGTAGGATTTCTGCTTTGAAATTCGTCTTGGCCGCGCGCCAGATAACTCATACATATTCACACAACTCGAGCGAGCAGCGAGGATGGATGTGGCAGGAAAAAGGGATGACTAAAAAGGGCAGGAATAGGAAAGAGAGGGAAAGGGGAGAGATAAAAAGAGGAACGCGTCGATGATCAAGATCGGACGCGTATGAAGCCGAGAGACCACGGAACTCACGTGATTTCAATTTCAAATGCAAGTCCGTGAATCGCGGGGGTTGGACGAAAGTTCCAGCCATTGTGTGCTCGTACGTACGTATGCGCATTTCTATAGGTATCGTCCCCCGGTATCCTCCGAGGATTCTCTCAGCCGACTCCTTCGCGATGCTGAAAATGCAATGCGATGCACATGTGATAACGGCGAATTTCCCGTGTAGATTGGGGTGAAGTTCCAGGGTGGATCGCGCGCGCGAGGAAAATTGGTTTGCGTTTCAATTTGTGGAGTTTACGAGTCGTTTATTTTGGAAATCTTATATTCTCAACGTAAATCGGATTTTAAAGGTCTTATTGCGATACATTTATCGCGTCAATTTTATGTATAGCCTTATTTAATTTAAATTCTTTACTTCATTCAAAATTTATCTGACGCCAGTTTTAAAATAAATGAAAGAAATTGACATATCATATATACTTCTTTTTACAATATCCGAGAAAAATTCTTGATGATTAATTCTTCCGAAATAAAACTTATATCGTGCGTCATTTAAATTTATAGCGTTTTAAAAATTTAAATAGATATCATTATAAAATTACAAGAAAGTATGACGTTTTTCTTGTAACGGAAATTGTGAACAAATTCAGCAACGTATCAATTACTGCTTCTTTTTTTGATCATCCAATTATACGTCACACAAAGAGTAACAACGTTCCGCTGCACAGATGAACTTCGATTAAACGAATTAAAAGCTTGCCCGAACTGGACACGATAATTTGCCGTAAACGATTACGAGATAAGTCGCGCCAATTTCGGCAGCAATGTAATGGAATCCTTTAAATCGCCGGTTCGTCGTCATCGTCGAATACACACGTACTCACACTATTACTCTTTTCCGCCAATCAGCGCTCGTTAAATTGCAAATTAATGCAGAGACGAAGCCGCCGTCGAAAAACTGGTACGCGTGAATCTCATTCGAGCTTACATTCATCAAGGTACTGTCGCCGATTTACAGGCAGGTTTTCGCTTACCTTATAATTGGATAATAGCTCTGTAGCCATAATTGCATAAATCGACAAAACGAAAATTTTCTACCAAATAAAACTTAGTTGCATCGTTAAGATGTTTTTAATAATATTATCATGTATGTGGACGTTAATTGTATTACCAATTTAATATATAAATATATATTATATATTATCATTCACATACAATATATAAATATTGAGACGAACAAAATAAAAATAAAGTATTATTAAAATGTGTTTTATTTAATATAATAAAGAGAAATATAGGCAATTTTATAATAATAATAATAAGTAATTGTATATATATGCAGAGATATTCAATTTATTTAACTACCAACATTATTTTATTCTTACGTTATTTTAATAAAAGACCAAATAAAAATATGTTATGGAACAGATATATATATAAGCGAATATCAAAGTAAGCCTTATTTTTAGCCTTATTTCCTTAAAATAATGGAATCAGTCAATTATCCTTATAGTATTAAGCGCCCTGGATCATTTTACTGTCTGCTCGATTTGAAGTGTGTGTGTGTGTGTGTAACATATATTTGTTTATAAATAATTATAGATTTTATTTAACTATAAAAGCCTCATTTTATATGGCTAGGTTCCAGAACGAAGATCTGGCTGTTCGTAATTTTCTGCGCGTCTTGGCGTCGCCGTCTGATCCTGGCGGCCACAAATGGCACAAACAAACTTGGATCATGTTCAATAATGTTTCCGCGTTGAATAAGCCGTACTATATAGCTCGCTGTATATCCAACCACTAAAGTAATTATTAATCCCATAGGATTATACCATAAATAGGAGATACGATAAAGATAAAAGTACGATTCGTCTGGTTCTACAGTACTGCAAAAAAAACATAAAAATATTATTTGTATTTAAATTACGCTCGAGATAGAGATAGAGAGAGAGAGAGAGAGAGAGAGAGAGAGAGAAAGAGAAGTAAATTTGTATTACTGTGTATTATTATAGAGAGATTATTTCAATTAAATGAGATTGTTTATTTTTACGCCTTTTTCGCGCGGACAGCTTCTCAATTTCTTGCATCGTTGAAAATAGAGCCGTCGATTTACGCGAGTTTCCGCCGACAAAGAGAAAGCAATAATATATCTAATCCCGCTAATAATGGCGCGGCAAGGATTCCATGGGACAACCGTAATTTCAGTTTATTAACGGTGCAATTAGCGTTATTTACCGCCGTGGGAATGTCGAATAGCGAGCTTATCGTCCATGAGAAAGCGCTGTGAGCGTGAAAGAAATCGGGAAGTAGCGCTTAACTTGCAGCTAATTACTGCGGCACGAAATATCCTTGTGTCCATAACAACATCGATGACTCGGAATTTTGAATAGCCGCGATAAGACGATATACAGAATTGTCGATAATTCATATTTTAATTCTAAATTTTTAATCTTGCATTTGTGAAATAACTAACATGATATTTCGACGACATTAAATTTGAAGCTTTATGTATTTAATTGATTGACTTTACGTAGATTATTTAAAAATATTGAACTAATATTATTTTATGCTTTTAACATTGTAAAAAAATGCAATTTAATTATTTGTAAAGTTTGGAAAATATTAATTGAACGCTGTATGTATCATTTTACAATGATTTTTGAAAATATCGTACCTGTTGAGCTTCATCTGTTCAGCGAGCATCAACGCTGAAGAATTTGCGCAACCTTCGACCGATATCGGTAGTTCCGGGACGGGTGGTTTCGGATGCCCGAAAGCAGCCCACATACAAACGATTAATGCTGTAATCATGCCAATGATGGTTCCTATCTCGTTAGCACTCTCACATAGCATTCCAAGAGTAAAGATACCCAGAATGGGGCCGCCAATAGCTCCGTGTATGCTGAAGGCGACGGCAACCAACCGTCCCATCGTCTTCGCCAACAATGCTAAGAACAAGCAAAGAACGCCGTTTAAAAAAGTAAGAGCTTTGGCTGTGAAGGTGGCTTTCTTATCAGAAAATTCCACCCCGAACTTTCGATGCAGCGGCTTAACGTAATCCTCGAGCGCCACTGCCGCCAACGAGTTCATCATAGCAGAAATCGTGCTCAAGCTAGCGCTGAAAATGCCGGAAACGATAAGCCCGACCAATCCAGGTGACAATCTCTCCGCGGTGAAAAACGGCACTATTTTATCGTAGGTGGTGATCTTTCCGGAGGCTACAGGATCGCAGTCTTTGTAGATTGCGTATAGCGCCAATCCGGTGAAACATGTTAAGAAACCTATCAGTGCGATGAAAGGACCGCACAGCAGCAGGGCATTCGTAGCGACTTTTACGCTTCTATAGAAATGAAAAAATAATCATCGTAAAATATGCTGAATACTCTTGCGCGGAATAAATACAGACGTACTTAACGGTCATTAAACGTTGAACTTGCACTTGATTTACTGCAAGAAAGGATAGACCTATCGATCCTCCGCCGATCAAAAGACTCCACCACGTATACTGGACAGTTGGATCCAAACTCACGCTAAAAAAAAAAGAAGGAAAAAATCTTATTAATATTCTTATAAATTTTATTATTTGAAGATGAGTTTATATCATAGTAAATAAATATATCTTCAAATAATATATTATTCTGAGAACACACATAAAATATATGGCTTCATATCGATTATCTTACTTGGAGACATCAAGACGGTTCCCTTCCAGAGCAATACGCCAAATACCACCAATTCCTCCGTCAATCTCCATGGCAACAATTAAGATGATAGTGCTGAGAGCAACGATCATGAGCAAGCCCTGGAAGATATCGGTGACCAGTACCGCTTTGATACCACCTATCGTGGAATAGAAGGTACAAATTGTGGCGAGTACCAAGATGCTCATAAGACTCGATAATCCTGCGGTGGCCTCGAGAGCTAACGAAGGAGCATACAGCATCACACCGGTCAGTAACATCGTTTCGGTAAAGTTTGCCGCGCTCACCAGCAATCGCACGTATAATCCAAATCGTTTCTCCAGATACTAAAAGAAAAGAAAAACAGAAATTTGCAAAAATAACTATCTCACTTGTTCTTTTGCACATAAATAGAAGCACAAAATTTCTTTGTGTTTTAATAATTTCTTTAATAACAGATCTATTCAAAATAAACTATTAAAGAAACTATTTTGCAATTTGATTCGGATACTTCAAAAATTTCCGATTAATTTATACTTGCAAATTAATTTTACATTTCTCGTTTTGCTGTGTTACAAAATTTGATAAATTTTATATAATGTATTCGATTATAACATATACATATATGTTTGCGCAATATAACTGGCCGTCTTCGAAGAGAACAACGTCGAAAATAATAGACAATATTTTGAGTGATTATTTGACAATTACCTCATAGATGCTTACGACCTTCACTTCGAAGAAGACTGGTAGATAGCAGAAAGCTATAATCGGCACGATGAAAATGCTGCTGAGATATAATAATACGAGGAACATGCCGCGGATGTAAGTTTCCCCGCTCATTCCGAGCATGCTAATTGCCGATATGTGAGAGGCCATCATGGCAATCGAGAGAGGAAAGACACCCATCGAACTGTCCGCGGTAAAGTATTCCTGTCAATGATAATTGTGCGATTGAGCAACAGCTTCGTACACAGGATATTTTTTTATTTCTAATGCACAGTATTTTTCTGCGTCATTACGACGAGTAAAATTAATCGGCACTTGGTATTATTCTATTTCTAAGGGAAGATCTTCGAAATGTTCTATGGTAATAATTCAACCGTATTAACCACCAAAAGGCTAAAACACAATATATTTATATATTTAGTTTATCAATTAAAATATCTATTTGTTTTTTATTAAAACATTGGTTTAAATAAATTTTTGATAAAATTATGAAAGGCATTTTTGGTTATCTTAAGGAAAATTACGGTTGACACAGTAGTTATGTTGAGTATTTTTTTTCCTTAAGAATAGAAGAAAAATAGAACGAGAAAATGTGTTTTTATAATTGCAATATAAACTTTGTTAAAGAATCTATTACTTTTCTCAATATTTACGAGATTTGGAATTTAATTTATTAGCAGTAGCGATAATCTGTAATTTACGCAGATGATAGTATTTATCGCGAAACGAGATCGAATGCATAACATGCGTTGATATGATTTGTGTGCGAGTTATTGCGATCGCATCAGTTTAACGCCAAATCGATTTGCCGCATAAAAATTTATTTTCTAGAAACTGACCGCTGCCGTACGTTGTCGACCACCGCTGAATCGATAGTAGATCCCTATGCTGACGGAAATTAACATGATTACGCTAATCACGAGGTAATCCTGCCATTGCAATCTGTGGATTTCGCCCTCGGTAATTGATGTCTATAAGCAAATTTCTTTTTATTATGATTTATTGAAAAATTCGTAGTAGAGATTTTTTAGACAGAATTTTCAAATGTGATTTGATATTAAAACATATCTAGCTGTAGTATAATGATTATGAGACATAGAAATATGTAATGTTAAATTATTTTCTTAAATATTTCATAATTTATAAGGCAGTGATAATATAATCAATTTTTGTTAGATTATTTGTAACTAATCCAATGCCTATTAGTACTTACATCCATCTTGTGAAATTTACACCTACACTATTCACTTAAGAGGCAAAAAGTTCAACTTTATAATTTCAATCCAGATACTTAAATTTTGACCGAAATTTTCATTATGATAAAAAATTTAAATAATTTTTGCACACTTTTGAAAACACAGAGTACGAAAATCAAAATGCTTATGAGTGTTCCACAAGCTCTTACTAATGAATGTGTCCGCTCCCATCGACATGCAAAACGCAGGAAAAGAAACGATATATTACGTAAAGAATTACTCGGCATCTTTAGCGCTAAAGCACGCGAAGTATAGAATTTCCATCGGTAAATTAGATGTAGTAACATGCTGTTTAATACTAATTGCTAGTTAAAAGAAAAATTTATCTGCGGAAATGTCGTGTATATTAGCAGAGATAAATTTAAGACAAGAACTATTTAAATACGCATACATATTACAAATATGTTACAAACATATTGATATTATGTAATATAAGAAGGATATTATTCTTTGTTATTAAAAAAAATCCTGGATCAGCATTTTTTTTTACAAATATTGAACAGTGACGATCGACAAGTGACTATAATATTGACCATATATAGATATATCAGTTAAAGCATATTACACCTGAGGAAAGATTAGATTGCGATCATCGGATAAGGCTTAGCCTTAATTTAATGTGCCGCAAATGATAGCGTTTGAAATGATTATCTTTACACGCCAACCAACCATTCCGAAGGATCGATTCACTTAACAGCGATGAAAATGTGAAAAATGTAACAAATAAAGACTATTCACCTAAAGATGCATTTGATTTTGACATTAATTGAATAGTAAATATAATTGCATTAAAATTCTAAAATTATTTTTACTATTATTATATTGCTCAATATTTATATTCTAATACACATACATTAATATTTTAACATACACTAGTATTAATCAGTTATTAGACTTTTGCATAGATATTAGTAACAAGTTTTCCAAATATATATTCTGAATTCGAAAGATAATAAATTTAATTAATTGTAATTAAATTTGTCAGTACGCTAAAGTCTCTTTTTCAATAGTACATGTTACAGAGATATTGCTTTTAATTAAAATCACTTTATTTAAAATGTAAAAGAAAAAGAAAAAAATCTCTTTTTGAAGCTGCAGCTGAAAAGACCAGGTCTATTATCTTGTCGTATGTGCACTTTAACACGTATTCTTGCTTGAATATTTTACTTTTTCCAATATAACTAGTTGATGCAGCACAATAAGGGTTAATGACGATCTCGTTTAAGTGGCGACTAATTTCCGACATTGTTACTGGTCTGTCGACCGCGTTGTTTTACGCGAATAGCATTGCCAACGAAAGAGAGAAGAACTACGAACAAAAGAGGAACGGAAAGAGAAAGAGAGAGAGAGAGAGGAAAGGCCGGAGAGAATAGGGGAGAAAAAGAGGAACTCGTAAGTGGTGAATTCCCGTCATTAAGTCGTTAGCCAGACGACAGCAGACTAACTGTCGGCTAACTGACTGCTGAACTTGATCGACCAATCATTGACCCCTACGGTCAATCGAAATTTACCGTGTGTTAACCACTCTCGTTCCACGTAATTCGTCGATATTATCCGGATGCGTAGGCTGCTTTCGATAATTTGACGAGGGAAAATATATCGGTCGTGAAGCAGCTGCATGCTTTAATTCAAAGATAATACGGAAGTTAATGTAAATTTTGTTTGCGAGTTCAATTTTATTCGGAAAGGAGTATGTTCTCGATTATAATCTGTATTAATCTTTTTGCTTTATATTAATTAGGTATATTCAAAGAAATATCTCGTTTTCGAGATATATAAAAAAGTTCTATTAAATATAATTTTTTTAAAAGAGATAAATTTTACATAATAAAAATTAAATCTAGATTTGTTATTGTATCGGGTTGAACGGAAAGTTTGTGCCATTTTTTAGGTCTTTATCTCTTAGTAAAAAACGGCACGAACTTTCCGTTCAACCACTTCCCTAAAAAGTTAGGGCCCAAAATCCTCTAAAATCACGGTTATTTTTTACATTTTTACAAATATCAGGAAAAGTATGTGTCTTTTAACAAAAAGTACCAAAACAAAAGTTGTAGAGAATTAAATTATCTTTCAAATGAGATAATGAGATTTGTAGTTCGTTCCATAGGTTTTCGAATAA